TGAGCCTGCTGTCCCTCAGTCGGCTTGAAAGCCTACCTAAAATCACAAGGTGAACTGGAATGAACTCCACGCAAGTGCCACAGATTTAGAAACAGGAACAACCCGCTAAAGAGAGACAGAAACCTTTCAGTCTCCTTCTAATCAAAAGAAAAAGTCCTTCATCAGAGGAGGAAGCCCTCAAAGAAACCGAGGCTGACCGCACCTGCTGGGGAGAGCCAACGATTTGCTGAGGATGCCACCTCCTCCCTCAAAATGCTACCACGCTCCCACAGGCCATCGGAGGATAACTCCTGTCCTCACGGGAGCAAAGGGAAGAAGCAGGGTTAGAAGAAGAGGGATCAAAATAAGCAGGGAATCAATCGCTTACGCATCCCAGGGTTAAAAAAAAAAACAATAAAGTTAATTCATAGACCGTCCTTGCAGGGCCTTCCTGCAGAAGCCAGAATTTCTCATTTAAAAAAAAAACAAAAAAAAAACAAAACAAAAAAAAAAAACAAGAAAAGAAAAATTACCATGTACTTCCAAACCTGAAAGTACTTCTATAAGTTTGGTACCAATTCATCATTGCCCTCTGGCCAAGAGGGGAGAAGACAAATGACATCTCTGCCCTCTGCCACAGCAAAGTTTGGCCAGTGAGTTCCAGAAAAGAGCAGGGAAAATTTTGGAGTAAACAAAAATCAAGGGAAAGTCATGTTTTCCTGGTGTCTCTGTTCCAAAGGTATATTCCCACCTGTGATCTCTGTCCATCGAGGTGAGGCAGCTTTCTCTGGCTCAAGGGATGGAGTGGGTGTTCCTGCACTATGTTCCTAATACTGTCAATTGAGCTGCCGCAGCCTGGAGAGGCAGGTTAGATCTGCTCCAACGTGCACTGAACAAACAAGAGGAAAAGCAGCATGATAGGAAGGGGAACAGGATGGGCAGATGACTGCCCATTTAATTCTGTCTCTAATTTAAATCTTAAGTGCTATCAACGTATTCGAGAAGGATATTCAGTACAGGATTCCTCAACATCAAGAACTGCTTTCCAATTCGCTTCCTTCTTAAGATCTCCAACTAATGACATTTCTTACCGCCTCCTCCTTCCAACTTCGATCACTACAACTTTAAATTAAACCCACTTAGAAATAGTTTCAGATGGAGGGAATCCAGAAACATATTTGGCACGGGGCCACGGTGGTGAAGAAACAATGCCCTCTGGAGCCACCCTACGGAACGTGTTTTAACCTTTGCAAATCTGAAATTTCAGGTGTTTGATAACCCCTGGATCTGAGACAGCGAACAGGAGGAGAGCAGCAAGTCCTGTGGACAGAAGGGGGTGAGGGAGGAGGGAGGCAGCTAACTGGCTCTTCGCAGTTCTATCCGGATTCTCCTCTCATCTTCATGCACACAAAATATAATAAAAACTAATAAGAATAAAAACTAAGCCCATGATGTACAAAAATGTGTCGATAGGGGGAGGAGGAAGGTGTCAGTTACTCAGTTCTATGTGTCTTATCACCTTCATTAGCTTATAAATTATGCTCCTCTCCATTGCTTCCTTCAGGGAGGAGGGATGATTCTTCTGCAGCCAATCAGCTGGGATGGGTTTTGGTTTAAGCTGCTCTGGATCTTTTGGATAAGAAATGAAGGGAAGGGGAGGAATTCCTCAGAGGGAGGAGTAGTAAGAAATTCAGCAGCCACTGGCAGGAGTCACACAGGCTCCCTGAGACTTCACTTTATGGCGCTGACCCCCACGTCGCCGGCCTCCTCCTCCGACTTTTGACTGAAAAACAAGGAGAGACATTTTAGTGCGCAGTGACCTCTGAATCAGAGTATCAACACAGCAGGGGTTCAGATGGATTACACACACGTCCAGACAGCGGGAGGGCACTGGAGACAGATCAGCTTTCTACCACTGCAGGAAGGAGATAAGGCAGACAGACACACCATGAAGGAAGGAGGAGGGACAAACACACCATGACGTTCAGCCCTTCAAGCTGGGGAGCACCTAATTTCCCAATTTTCTGAACGCTTCACTGCCATGAGAGTCAGCAGGTGCCATGGAGCTCAGCATCCAGGAAATCGAAGCCTCAGGCTCCCTTGGCTTTGAAGAGAATGGAAAGAGGGCCCCCCACCCACCCAACAGGGCTCTCTCGCTAACCTGACTGCTCCCAGCCTCAGGCCAGCAAGCCCACCCTCCTTTTAAAGAGGCCAAATACCTTATTGCCCTCACGGATGTGGGGCTCTTCATCCAGCGCAGGCTGAGGGGAAGCAGCAAGGAGAGAGAGGCAGAGGTAAGCAAGAATGAAAGCAACACAGACTCTCAGGGGGAGGGACGAAACAAAGAGGAAGCTGGGAGAACTACTTACAACCACAGCGACGCTACAACAAGACAAGGAGGAGATGGGCATCTGTAAGAAGCCACAGGCACATGCAGAGGGAGAGAACCCCTGCCAGAGGGCTCTCTTTCAGCTGCCAGCCTGGCTCAAGAGAGTGAGATCTCACCAATGACAACTAAGACAACTAAAATTAAGAAGGGGAACACTGAGCACACTCGACAGTCAGTTCCTGAACCTTTTGCTTACTAGTTAAGGACCCTACAAGGAGAAGAGCCATGTAATAAAGCTGATAAATAGCTCACAAAGCCCGCAGTTAGCATTGAATTTCCAGTCCTTTCAGACTAGAAAGGCTAGGTATCCTCAGACAAGCTGAGCTGAGAAGTCCTAACCAACAAAACAACCTGGATAAATTTCTCTCAAAAAAGATAAACCTTTCCTCCTCCTTCTTGGACATCTCCATCCTCTTTCCTTGACAAAGCAGACAACCTGTGTCTGATATTACTACTTAGGTTGTAAATTCTCTAGCGTAGGGATGTTCCACACCTCATTCAGACAGCAGAGACCCATTCTGTGACTGGTTTGTTGGTGCTTCACTAGTGCAGCTACTGCATATATGGAGACACTTCTTGACTGTGAGCACAGTCAAGTAATGAAACAGGTTGCCAAGGGAGGCTGTGCAGTCTCCCTCCTTGGAGCTTTTCAAGACATGACTGGATAAAACCCTGAGCACCCCAGTCTGACCTCAGAGCTAATCCTACTTAGAGCAGGATGTTTGACTAGACACTTCCTGAAGTCCAACCCAAATTGTCCCAGGATCCTAAGCTGCTAGCTGCTGAAACATCAGCCACCACAAGTCATCCAGTCACCAGAGAATTCTGATTTCTACCATAAGACTACCTATATTTCAATTTCTTTCTGTTGCACGAGTCCCAAGATGAGTTCAAGAGTATGAGGGGATAATGCTTGTGCTTTAGAGTGCCCTTCCTCCAACAGATGAAACCAGAATTCAAACAGCTAGGACAGACATCGTATTTTCCTCACTTACCAATGGTTGCAGGGCAGTAGGTGTCAGTGGAGCTGCAGCTGTTGAGGGGGCCTCATCACCAGCTGGTGGGCCCCCAGCTGCCGTCCCAGCTGGGGGAACACCATCCTCTCGTTTCGTAACAGCTCCCTTCTTGGTTGACTGCATCTTGATCTGCTGCGGCTTGGAATTCATTGGTGAGTTATTGGTGGTCTGGAGTAACTGTAAATTACAAACAGAGAGGCCAAAGATCAGCATTAAAATAGCTACGCCAATACTGCAAGGTTCAATCTGCTTTTTAAGAAAAAGCTTGAGAGGATTGATATCAATAGCCATCGTGAGATGGTGGCAGCAACAGCTGCTCAAAGAAATTTAGGCCCCTGAGCTACCCTCAAGAACCCTCACAGGGTGGAAAGGGCCACTCAGCTGAGGTGACACTCAGCCCTCCTCAATGACTCAAAGGGAACCAGCTAAAAGCCATCAGAAAGAGACCAAGCCATACGAACCAGAGGCATCTGGCTCACCCCCCCCGTTTCACATTCCCTCATGCACACCAGTTAAGAGCCACCCCACAACAAAGCACACTGGTCATCTGCAACCACGTCAAGGCTGATGTTTGTGATCGAGGGATGGCCTCTTCCCTCAATTTTCCAGAGCTATACAGATCCTCCTGCTGGCTTCTCAGCGCCAGAAGTAGCTAATGGGCAAAAAACCAGTCGGACTCTTCAGCCTTTACCTTAGTGATGGTACCCACAGCTTTGGTGCGGCCTTCACGGAAGACCAGACGCTGGTCTATATGCAAATATTCCGGGGTTTTGATGAAGCGAAAATGCACTGTGGCTTTGTCCCCCGTCCGCAGGCAGTCCTTGTCCATGCTGAGAATCGTGGCTGTCTGACGGATGCTGCCACAATGCACTGTGAATGCAATGCACAAAGGCTTTCAAACAGCCAGAGCCATTAGTGGAATAAGCTTCAGAGAGACACCTAAGGCAGCTCTTGCTACCCTACAGCTAACTGCATGGAGTTTGGAATGTAAAAATCCACTGTGTACCAAGGACTATAAGGGTCATATGGCTGCCTTTGTTCAGGCCTCAAAAAGAAAACACACATAAGCCAGAACAGTTGCCTTCAAATGGAGACTTTGCAGAAGCATCCTCAATAGAATCCTACAGGCCAAGCAGCCAGACTAGAGGGCCTGACTTTAATGAGTCTCTCAGTCAGCATCTGAAGCTGAAGAATCTTTGCCCCATGGAGATCTGGCTCGGGCAGGCTCCAAGTACACTTGGAGTCACACATCTCCTTTTTACCTACAGCCTTTGCCACTCTCCTCCATCAGCTCTCTCCCCTCTCTCTAATGTGTTGTTGGAAAAGATTAAACCAGGAACTACGGCTTATATTGAGGCTGACAGATCCATCAGGAGAAAAATGATCTCAGGCTAGAGCTGACACAAACTGTTTACCACTGAGAAACAAAGCTGAGACAACACTGAGTTACATACCCATGGCCTGATATCGTGGGCTGATGGTGGTGGGGTGATGGAGCACTAGAATCTCTGCTTCAAACTCCCACGATGCCTGTGGATTCAGGCGGGGTGACACCATTACCATGCCTTTCCGGATGGAAGAACGCTTGATCTGAAAAGCAGAGACACAAAAAAACCTTAGTGTGATTCTCCAGGGAAGAAACGTGCTTCTCTGGCTGACTGCATCTAGAAGGGTCCTAAGGGACTTCAACAGGTATTAACTTGTGCTCACCAAAAGGCAAAGCCAGAGCTGTTTAGCAGTATGGAATGATGTTATGCAAAGGTTGCAAAAATCAAGTTCAGCTGAAGATTCTGAGGAAGCTTTAGTTAGAGTGCTGGGAATGCTGGACACTGACACAGAAGTTTTAACTCACTGATCCTTTAAAAGCAAAACATACATCCTGATTGCACATTACCCAAGCAGATAATGTCTCCAAAAGCATGATGTCTGTTAACACAAAATAAGAGTGAACACATGAAGTTTGGAATAGCTTAAACTAGATCTCCTTAAAATCAGTGCAGCTTCTATTGACAGAAACCTTCCACTAGAGGAACTGCATCAAATGTTGTTGATTTTAAAATCCCCAAATCATGCAGTTGGTCCTGTAAGTTGAGAGGAATAATGTAAATACCCTGCCTAGGCCACTAACATAGCTGGAGCACAAGAGGAAACTTTTCTTGCACTTTGTTACACACTTCCAACACTATTCCTCTTTACCTTGGGTCCCACTGCTATTACCAGGCAGCTGTCACCTGGAGCAACTGGGACACAGGACCCTCAGAGGTTTTATGGGATTTTCAATGGGCTGTGAAATGAAGCAGCTGAGGTTTGCAGAAGCAGTTCTGATTGCAGCTGAACTCCAAGAGCACTCTCAAATTAGGATGGTGGTTCCTGTTCTGGGGGTCTAGAGCAGATCATCTCACCTTTTTCAAAGCAAAGGAGGCGGTCTGGCCTCCCCGCACTTCTTTGACGGGCATCCTCTTGCGGTGGATGGACTTGACAGCAATCGGTAGGAAGTTGCCAAGGGGATCTGGCCCCAGCAGCAGGGTGTCATTTAGCTTGATCAGGCCTCTCAGTGTCGTCCCAGACACAACTGTTCCTACACCCTAGGCCAAAATATTAAAAACAGTAATTGGGGTCACTCGGCCACGCTAGCAGAAGAGCTCTAGAACTCCCCTCTCCAGGGAAGATGCCTTCTTCACCTGAAAGAGGGAGCAGAAAATTCTTCAAATACCAGGCCCCTTACCGGGACAGAGTAAGTATCATCTATCTGGAATTCTGCTGGCTCTTCTTCCCTGTAACTGGTCCGTGGAGACAAGAGATTAAGAAACATCTTCAGCAAATCTAGGTTCTCTCCAGTGACATTTGAAATCTGGAAAATCGGGCACATCCTGTAAAGAAGAATTGATGAAAACTGAGTTAGTTCACCTCCCTGCCTGGAATTCCACGTGTAGGGAGACATCCAAAAAATCTCGGGACTGAATTCAATACACAGTGCTAGGAAGGGAGAGCCTGGCAAGCAGTCAGATGCACAACACCCCATGTTTGAAAACCTGCAACATTGCCTCTGCCTTCTAATGACTTTCAGGAATAGGTGTAAGGTTCCGGGACTGAAGGAAGCTGAATACCCTGCCATCTTCTGCAGGCTGCCCAGAAGCAGCCTCTCATTTCTGTCTCAGAGAGGGGAACACAAGCGGGTCAAGCTCAGAATCAACACATTCTTATGGAATCAACACACCACATGGCAGATGCAACCTTCACACATCTAGACAATGGGATTCTCTTTCTGAATCTTCTCACCCAGTCTCCAAATAGGATGGAAAGAGAAACGACTTCTCCTCTACTCCCGTTACCTCTCTGAGCTGAAGTTGGAGGCTGTTACAATGACATCATCCTTGCTCTGAACCAGCACGGGAATCTTCCTGCACCCTGGGGACTTCAGCAGTCGCTGTAACAGCTTCAGGGTTTCTTAAAGGGTGAAATGAATATTGTGTTAGGGAAGCATCTCCCGTCTTTACAAATCGCTTTTGTGGGGTCTCTCCCCAAAGGGAGACTGGTGTTCTTGCCACAAATAGACAGGAGAAGATGGCTAAAAGTGCGTGAGTGAGACTATGAGTTTGCTGCAGCCCAGAAGGGACTTAGGAGCCATTCCATCTTCCATTTCATGCCAGTTAGCTTGCTGCCAAGCGACACCATACATGAACAGACATACAAATTTGCATCTGCAAGTGCAATGCTGGGAATTAGACATTTTAGAGCTGTCTGTTAAGTAGCTTGAAGCAGTTACAAGGTATTTCCTAGTACTATAAAGGATTTTTTCATATTGAATTCAATGAAAACCAGCAGCACTCAGGAACTGACATAATTGAGAATACTTGAATTAGAAATCAATTTTGATGAAATAAACTTCAACACACTTTGCCTGGCAATCAACCTACCCTACAAGGTTAGAGAAGCGTGAAAGAGGCAAAGATGGCCATCACAGACTAGGACACTGTAAGTGGACAAGATCCAGAAATAAATATTTTGGGACAAATCTCACGGCTTCCAACTTTGATCTCCTGACTGTTTTAAATTTGTTTTCTAAGCCCCATGTCTATCAGCCAGCAGGGGTGCTACCTGATGCACTTGCATCAGCCTCCTGCAAAGTGCCTTACAATAAACAAGGTGGGGGGAAAAGGCTAGTAAGGGCTTAAAAGAGCAAATAATTTACATTCCAGAATTGTCATTCAATTAGATGTTTTTTGTGAACAAATGATTGCCTATGGGAAAGTAATGTTTTGGATACAGAAACACAAACATCTAATCATGCCATCTGCTCTTCACAGATACACTAGAGCCAAACCTTGTGTCTTATTTAATTTAAACAGAACATGACACAGGAGTGGCTTCTCCCAAGAGCAGCTCTTCTCTCCTCACCCTCAGCTAAACGTTCTCCTTCTCTCCCAGTTATTATTTTACGGTCGGGCCTTACATTTATTTGCCAAACATCTATTAGAGAATTATTTAGATTATCTTTTGATCATATGTGTCTGTTTACCTGAAACATATTTAGGATTTTTACAATAATGAACTAACCACAGACAGTACCAGGAGGATCCACTTTCCTGATTCTCAGGACTGCTTATCAAAAAAAGCATTGCTCCCACTAACCACAGCATGTTCCTGAAGGTGTGAGAAATGCATCAAGAGAATTTTAAAGGTGAGAGTTGGTCACAGCCTGAAAAGATGTCAAGTTAAAGGGCCACTGCTGGGGTTAGAGGTGCTACTTTAACAGCTGCTGAGCAAAAATAGTCACTAGCCCCTGCTGCTCAATGCCATCCCCACCTGTGTCCAGTCCAGTCCTGCTACCACAGCCCACATACTGCTTTGAACCACGATTTATTAAGTGTTGGTTGGTTGTTCAGAGGAGCTGCTGTAGTTACACCAGCATATCTGAGAAGTGCCCAGGTGGGCAGGATGTAACAAGCAGCTACCCCTTCATTTAAGAGAACAAGTTTGATCACAGCTTAAGATCACACTCAAACTGTGAGCAAGAAGGAAAGCAGCTTTCGTGAGAACTTCCAGACTTTCCCTCCAGGTTTAAATACCCAAAGAGAACATAAAGCCACAACCCCAACTGTAAACTTCTCCTCTTAGAGCTCAGTTAAGCAAAACCCTGTAGCAAACACTTTTGGGTTGCCCAGCTGAGTCCCCCCAACTTGGGTAATTTTGAAATGGTGACTACGAGTCAACTGCCTGCAAAATGGGCAAGGGAAAAGGATAGATTTCTGGAAGGTGTTTAGGATGCAGTCAAAACCAGATAAGGCAGCTTTCCTCCAGCAGTAATTCCTCAACCCAAGCAGAGGATAACAGCACATACAGAGGTAAGAAACAGCCCTGGAGAGAGCTTGTAGGACTCACCTTGCAGGATGTTGGCAGGGCACATGTCGATCTTGGTCACCACAACAAAGACAGGAACGTTAAGTGCAAGCGCCAGGCCTAAGTGCTCCTTGGTCATTCCAACAATCCCAGCGTTGCTGCCAACCTACACCAGGGATACAAGAAAGGGTGATGTAAACCTTCCTCCTCCAGTGAGCTAGGACTTGTGTCCAACATGCAGTAGGCTGTGATTAGGTTGCAGGTGCATTATTGGGAATGTATGAGCACACCTGGCTCATTTCAAATACTGTTGGACACTGGCTGAGGACTCATTGCTCCTCAATTTTAGCAAGGTGTTCTGAAGTTAAGAAATCTTTCAGTTTTCAAAAACAATACACCTCAGGCCCATGTGAGACTGACAGTCCTGGGGTGCTTGTCTCAGAGCCCTGGCTACATACCTACAGCGGCGGCTCTTCTCCACCCCTGGGAGATGCTGCCTCCCTCCACCACCCCACGGGCACTTGGAATAGGAAAGAAGTTGAGGCTGTTAAAGCTCTGAAAAGCCCCGCTTGTGCTAGTGCAGTACATCTTTCTTGCTACCTACCATAAGCATGCAGAAGTCAGGTAAATGGCCAGTCATGCCGAAGACGGTGGTTTTCAGGTACTTTTCATGACCAGCCAGGTCGATGAAAGTAATGACCTTGGTGGATTTCTCACAGATTTTTGTCCATTCCAAGCTGCCACCGTGGCTGTCGGGCTTGTTGACCACGTTGCCCTCACTGTCGAAGCCCAGAATGTCATTGCCCACACTGCTGGTGCGGCCTGACTCAATCTCATGTTTATGGCGGAAGAGCTTTTGCCGAGCAAAGCCTCGGCCATTGTCAAGTTCACCATGAGTCAAGACTCCTAGCAACGTGCTCTTTCCTGCATCCACATTGCCAACCACTGCTACCCTGGGGGGGGAAAGGAAAAAGGAACCTGGTAAAATCTGATACCTGAAGAAACAAACAAGCAATCAAAAAAACCTCAACAAACCAAACACACCACCACTCCTGCAAATAACTAGCTTTTTCTGCCTAACCTTAAAAGAGAAATTCAAGAATGTTAGATCTTCACAAGCAGAGCAGAGATTTTTTCACAGTTTTTAGTTAACAACAGAGATCCCAGACGCTGGGGACCGGGATGTGGAAGACTGTGGAAACGTGTCACTGGTACCCTGAACACAGGGAGCTGAACTCGACATTGCTTGACAACACGTGCAGGTGGCAATTCAAAAGGAAGTCTAAATCCCAACTTGATCTAAATACCTCTCCCTTTTTTGTATTTGTCATGTTGCAGTAGCAGCAGCTGCTAGGGAAAACACAGAAATTTTAATTTCTCTTCCCAGAAAAGGAAAAGCTCAAACGACAATGAATTTTTTTGGGGGAAACCCCTCTCCTACAGCAATCGCCTTCCTTGTCTCTGATAAAGGTGGCTATTATGGCTGTTGGCAAATGTTGGAAATCCATTCCATCCAGGTCTGGGCAGACTCTCAAGTCATGTCACACAAGCTATTAGATGTCCATTAAAAGGTGACTTGGATCATCACGGTCTTGGAATAGAATTGAACCCTTAGTCAAAAGTATTGTGTTCCAGCAGTGTGCATATACGCACATACAGATGCACATGCCCATGTGACTCCCCACTGGGATCCCAGCCCACAAAAAATCCCCAAACTGTGAAGGTGTCACCCAGAGAGCAACAGCCCTCAGCTAAACACAGGTAAATCTTCACAAACAGTTTGTTCACAAAAGAGACAGCAGCAACAACCACCAAGAGGCGATTTCATTAGCAAGGAGTGGTCAAACTCAACTCCCTTTGTTGGGTAGCTACAACACCCAGACTTGAATGCGCGTTGCTGGCTCAGCATCGCTGACTGCTCACAGGGTAAAAATGCAGCTGGGCTGCTGACTAACCCTGTCTCCACCCGACTCCTCACCTGACCTCCAGGAAGTCGTTGTCACCCACACGTTTCCGAACGAGGTAGTCGCGCACCTTGCCCCCTGCCTCCTGGTGCTCCCGCAGGAGGATCACGTCTGCCTCGATCTGCTCTGCCATGCTCTTCAACGTGGCATAGGATGCCTCCATGTCTGCCTCGCTCAGACCGTATTCGGTCCCATCTAGTACCATGTTGAGGAGACAAAGGACAGTCAGTGAGCACCACCTCGCAACAGCCAGTAGCAATGTCATTCTGCCCGGGACATTCCACACCAGTCAGGATTTATATGATTTATATGTTCACACAGCCATGTGAACAGAATAAGCACCTTTGCCCCCAGTAAAAAAGGATGGTCTCCACTCAAAGTCTTAAAAGCTACTAGAAAAGCACCATCTTTCAACTACAGTTTTCTTCACAATTTCTACAAGAAAATATTTATGTATTGACAAGAAAGACACATTTCAGAATAATCCCTTACTTCACATGTTGAAGGTACTTTCTGTGCAGTTTCCTTCAGTCAGATAAAACATCTCCTCTCGCATTGCAATAAAGGGAAAAGCATTAACAAAAGGAAAGCTCTGACTGTGAAATATCACCACAATTAACCAGTGAATGTGGGACCAATTTAAACACCCAGCTTATTTTATAAAACCACATCCCAAGTGTACATTTTCTACAAGTCTGCCCTGCGCAGCAATTTCTTTAGCCCCCACAATACTCCAGTTAAAACAATGTTTTTGGCGTGTCTCACCGCCTTCGTCCTGGCAATTGAAAGAAATGCTGACAGCACACGAGGCCAGAAAAAAAACCAAGGAGGCACGTCTGCCTCTGAACAGCCCCCCCAAGCAAAGAGCTGACAGTTGGAGCAAGTCAGTGGCAAGCATCTAGACAGTTTAAAGGCCACCACAGCTTTCAGTTGCTCTCTTAACACAGGTGCTGAGAAGCTGCATGGATTTCAGGACAGAATCTCCTCAGTGGGTAAAAAAAAAAAAACAACAAACAAAGGCAGAGAGCCACGTAGCACCTGGATGACTGAAACTATTGCTGTGTGCGCATTTGTATACACGTCTGACTCATCAGCTGGTAGAGCAGTAACTGCAGTTTGCATGAATTAATCAGCATTTTAACTACCGCACAGCTCTACAAGTAGAGTTGCTGGGTGACTTCCAAACTAGCTCATAAACTGGCTGAGAAGTTGTTGAGAAGGTGAGGAAAACAAAAAGCACCAGGGCTTGGGGTCTTGGGTGAGAGTCAGGGGATGAGAAGCAGGGGACAGGAGAGGGCAAGAGCCAAGGGAGGAAGTGAGAGATCACTACTGATGAAGCAGTGACCTTCCTGGCAGTCTTCACTCGCTTCACAGTCATCTGAGTTGGGTATCCATGATGATCAAAATCACAGACACTCAAACTGAATGAGGAGGAGGGATGGTGGCAGGGATAGCAACATTATTTTTTTTCAGTTGGCTATTGTTTCAAATTTACAGAAAAGATCCCCATCTTCCTTGACCATGCTGCAACCCAAAATGAAGTCAGAAGTTTCAGACCTTAAATGCCCACTTCTAAGTACATCATTGCATCAACCACCAGTTAACACCCTCACAAGGTATCCTAGAGGAGAAAGCAGTTACCAGCTGATCTCCCCTGCAGATGTGGTTATCGCAAACACCCCTGGTTCAGACTACATGTGGGAAGCTCGCTTGGACACGAGAGCATTATCCTCATTATCCTGTGATCTTGGCTGCATGACCAATGGCCACCTAATCCTGGCTTCTTTTCTGCGTTGGCTGCTTCTCAAGACACCGAGAAAACCCAAGAAGCACACAGTTCTAAGGTAACACAACTCTCTCCCTCCATTACTTCAGCAAAACCTGTGCACTGATGACCAAGGTTTTGTATTCTTCCTCAAACATATTAACTAGTAGAATATCTGATGAACAACTTGATATCCAGCAGATATATAAAATGTTTGAAGCAAGGCTTTAGCCTTATGATAGCCATAGATATTATATTTTTTTGCATTCAGAAAAGAAATTCCGATTTCAAAACAAGAACACGTTCAATATTATTTTACCAGCATCAGATGCAAGTATTCAAACTGTGAAAAAGAACAAAAAATTAATCCATGCTAACTGCTAAAATCTGCAAAGGCAAATGACTGCAGTCATACCCGAGTTAATGTGACAATAAAGGCCTCATGGTAAGAAAAGGAAAACCTGTCTCTCTGTAGCACACACTAAAAAGGTCAGCAGCATATATTTTGGCTAACTCAAATACATTCCTGTGGGGTAAAAATATTGTTGTTTACAATAGAAATACAAGAAATGAACAAAACCAGACAGAACAAGACCTTCATCAAGCATTGAGGAGGTCTGTACCAAAACTGTTGTTGTCATTTCAGATCCTTTGTCTTTTCCTGGTGTGCCCAGACAAGTTATGCCTTATTTCCAAGCAGATTATACAAGAAATGTTTAGCTCCACTACATAAGACAGTTGCTGCCAGGAATAAAATAAAAAGAATCTGTGCCACATGTTCTGCTATACTTTATGGAGGTTTCCAAGTTATTCTGGAGAAGTAAGTACTTCTACTTCAGCAGCAGCCCAGTTAGATGAACTAGGTTTTTATTACCATTTTTATGGTTTTTTGCGGTTTTCCTCGGGAAGCTATACTCACCTGATCCTTGACCAATGACATAGATGGTCTCCCCACATCCCTCATCAATTCTCTCTGACATCTGCCGGAGCAAACTGTCATACTGCTCTGAAGTTGGACTCACCATCACCAGCTGGAAAAAAGATTAAATATCCAATTTGCAGATGTCAAGCAAACAATTTCACCAGCAGCTTCAGTTATAAGGACAATCGATCAATATGGTTTATTGAAAGAGGCTGTTTTTCAAGCACCGCTTTCTGGTGGTCTTGTTGTTTTGTTTTGTTTTTTTAAACCAGCTTCTCTGACAGCTATTTCCTTGTGACACTGCACAAGGTTATTCATCTGAGCTCAGAGTTCATTTACGTTGGAAGATACACTTCAAAGCACGTAAGAATACCAAACATCCCATTTTGAGGTAACCGATGTTTAAAAGCCACATTTAAGTGAACATCCCACTTCTCCTTCTGTGTAATACACGTTTCCAAGCAAGGAAAAGAGAAAGGGGAGGAGCTATTTCCTCCAAAGAAATTCCTCAGCTAGGTACTCCACTGTCCCCCTTCAGAGAGAGCTGCTGCTCCCCCAAAGCCAGAAGAAGCCAGCCAGACCTCACTGCAGAGCACACCTAGGCACCAAAACCTAGAGCATCTCACAAATCTTTCACATTCTTGATCTCCCCTTTTGTTTTCTGCCAGGGCAGAGGGGAAGGAGACAACACGAATAGGCATTATTTTCAAACTCCTAACAAAACTTTAGGTACTTTACACTACAATGCTGACAGGCAGATACACAAAGGAGTTTGTATGAGCATATTTGGACATTTCACCGGTGAAGAGCTGCATTTGGCAAGCCAGCAGCTGCTATCAACAAGCTTTGACTGCAGTTATTGCAACAACCACAACTTCCTTCACCCTTCCCTGTACAGGCAACACGAGAAGGAAAAAGCAAACAGAAACAAATAAGAAAATGAGGACAACAAGACAATGCTTCAGGATGGATTTTTCTTAGAACAGAATGGAGTAGCACCATTTTGGGCAAAAACCTGTGTTGCTCAGAGTACAGCTGAGGACACTCGAACAGAGTGGCCACAATGGCGGTGCAGGAATGGCAGACCAAGGAGACCTTCATCACCCATTTGGGACCAATTGGCTACTTGCTCTCTGTCTGCCTCCATGGTTACAAATCTGTTGGTGGCTGAGCATCCTGGTACAGTGGCTCAATAGCTGTTGTGTTTGAGATAGGCATTGTTGCTAAAAAGGCACTCTTAATAAGAATTGTAAAAGCTATCACCTCCCGACAGCCCTATGGTAGGCATGCCTGCACCACACTACAACGCTCAATGAAATCCAGAAATTCCATCAGCTGTCCTCACACACACATTCCAAAAAGCAGCTTCTAAACCTATAGCCATGAATGCATCTGGAAAACTGAAGCAGAGGCAGCAAGTGCTGGTTTAAAAGGTTTTAGGCAGTCAAAGCAACGCTTTCCTCAAACGTTAAGGGTGACAGAGAGCAGGTACATGTCTGCAAGTGCCAGACAGCTACAAGAGACAATCACCTTCACGTGCCTCTCTTCAGACACATGCCCTACCTAACCCTTTTAACTACTTGGCACGGTCTGCAAAGGGTAGCAAAGCACCCTGGAAGGTCACATAGTCTTTCAATTTCATGCTACAAAGGACTGAGATTGCCTTTAATAGTTGTTCTTTTGGTTTTGGTTTCTTCCCAAAGAAGACCACTGGATGTAAATGTATCGAGAGGGAAATCAGCAGCTGTTCAGAGGCTTGGATCAGGAGAGGAATGGAAGGCTCTGTATTGATGTGTAAGGCTTGTTTTGCCCAGTGAGCACTTTGGGAATTCCTGGAAGCACAGCAGATGGGCTCACTGTTTAGGGTAGTCACCAGCACAGGTCAGGGACTCAGGAAGATCTATTAAACAGGCTGTCGTACACATAAAGATCAATAAAATAACAGGGGCCACTAACGTAGAGGCACAATAACTTCAGTTTCTTCAAGTCTCATCACCAGCTTCATTCTTCTATGAGCAGTGTGAGTGGGCAAGGTGTTTGTCTAAAGTATCAGGGGACATTTCAGCTTAGCATCTCGCTGTAGCCTTTCTTCATGGTGCCAGGCAGGAGGGCTAGGGGCTAAAACAGCATGGTACCCACGCACATCAGCTCAAAACACTGTTCCCCTACTCTGCTGCTTTCACTGCCATGCAAAGGTGCTGCTGAAGGGTGTTCCAGAGGTAGACTGCCTCCAAAGCCTACCCTGGAGCCAATGAAGCTTACAGCTGATATGACAGAGCGGGATGTCAAGAGAAGGATGCGCAGAACAAATCACAGCTTTCATGGATCACACATTCCAATGCTGTCCAGTATTTCTAACAGCTGCTTCTGCAGCCCCCAGCCAGTTCTGCAGTTTCCTAGGTCACTGCAAGACTTTAGTAGCTGTTCTGAAGATCTCTTTAGCTAGCTTCCTGGAGAGAGGGAGCCCATTCTTTGCCATTTCCTTGGTTAGTGAGAGGCCCTCCATCTTGGCCTCTCTGCTTTTATTGCTTTTCACCTTTGAGCAATCCCCTCCATGCTTGCACTATGTATTCATGTTTTTCAGAGGTTTTCACAAAGCCAAAATTTTTCACTTTTGCTCTTTCCACTTTGCCCGGCATTGAGCAGTTAACAGTAGGAGCCATGTGGGTCTAGCAACCTCAGATTTCCTATAGGGCAAAAAAAGTAACATCCAGTTATTCTTTTATTCTCAGGACAGCAGAAAGAAATATATCTCACACCTTTGAGATGCCATCTCTAAAGTCCCTTCCCAATCTCTGGGGAAAGGTAGCTTTTCCCATCTTTCCTCTGATCAGTTTTGGGATTAACATACAATAGAAGTGGGTAATAGCTACTGGTGTCTGAGCTTACTCCAGGGGGACAAGTTGGACTGTGCCATTCTGCACTGCCCAGCAGCAAAGAAGAATTAATACTATTAATAAACAGCAATTTCCAGACACCAGTGAGATTAAGCTAAGGTTATATCAGCACTACTACAGGCAGTCCTTACAAAAGAAGCATCCCATATCCATGAGGTGGACAAACTATAAAGATTAAGGGTAAATCAAATACTATGTGGGACATAGTGCTGCCTGACATTTTGCATGGCTGGAAGGCCACCACTAGCCACTGGGAAGTCAGGGGAAAGGCACCTTCTGCAATGTCATATTTTGCTTTCTATTTCCTGTGGACATACATCGTTCAAGTGCTATTAATGTTCTGTTGTCAATGTAGATCTAATAAGTATCAGCTTCACCAATAGCCTTGTGTGATATGGTTTTGACCTGAAAGATGATTACTGCTGCAGTGTGTTGGTACTGAAGGGAAAGAATCACTCATTAAGATCAACACGATAATGAATTTGTGCTGATGAATGGAACTATTTGCTTGACCAGCTCACAAGGTGCACTTGATAACTGAATCCCAAAGTACTCCTCTCTAAAAGGAGCACACCTTACAATGAATGCACTGGGGGAGGACTGGGAGAAAAGTATGTAACACAGTGAGGGGGTAGGTCAGACCAGGACAGAAGTAGCAAACAAACTGCAGTGGGAATCACCATTTTAAGCAGGAATCGGAGGGCAGCAATTCAACTGGGAAGACAGAAAAGATGAGGGAATCAGGGCGGGGGGGGGGGGGGGGGGGTGCCTCTATCCCCCATTGTGTGCTCGCTTTTTAGGAAGGTGGAAAGCCCACCCCCAAGCTCTATTTTTGTCTTCCCTAACTTGGTGGCTTTTCCATTGCATTCACAAGATACATCTGAGCAGACAGGCTCAAGGTGGGGGGGGGGGGGGGGGGGGGGCAGGTTCCCATTCTCACCATATGGGATCGCTGTTTTGAGCATATAGCGGGAGACTAACTTGGAGAGATGGGGCAGAGCTCATAGTCTTAGCTCTCATCCAAGATGGGGATGAATGAAAGGTCTAGGGAAAAGATAGCAGGTGTACACTGCTGTATGGAAAAGTAACTTGTCATGAAGGTCAAAAAAATGCTTACCTATCACCTCCACAGTGCTGTAGATTTCTAGGAATGGAAGACAGCATGACAACATAAATGGAGGTTGTGGGAGAAAAGCATTCCTCTCTCTTTATCAGTGTTTTGGTCAGGTTCCTGGCTGTCAAGAATCAGTGACACAACCCTTGGTGTCCTCCTGGGCCCTCTTCCACATCAGCCACGTCCAAAGCACAGATCGATACTGGCATCCTGTATCAAAATCTTGTCCAGCTCATTAAGGCATGAACAGGTGGCTCAATAAATACTGCAGGTCTGGTTTCTGTTCTTTACTTCCTTATATGACATCTTCATAACATTTGTTTTAATACAGTACCACATTGGGAAATATCTGGTCATTCCCTCAAAAACAAACAGCTCCACATCCACACACCACAATTCCTCTCTCTCCGTTTCTCCACAGAAGTCAAGACAATTCAGGACTTTGGAACAACTCCAGCTGGAAGTATGAAGAGGAAAGCTGGCAGAAAAACAGGAGGAAACACCGGCTATGCTGACTTCTGGATCACTTAATTACAAGTGGACCAAACCAAGGAGACTTTAGAGCGGGAGATGGCACCACGATACATCAAACGCTTGGCAGCAAAAGGTATACGGCTAAAGAGAGCAGCCAACTGGGACAAAACAGAAGGCAGCGTAGAAAGGCAGCTAACACAGCCCGTGGCAGGCTCTGGCATGCACTTAATACTACCATGTACCTTCCTGTAAGATGTGAGCGAGAACAGATTCTTACAGAAACAAGACCACCACGCAGCTTTGTCACTCATATCCTAGAAAGGAACCGCGTCAGGTGAACAAACCTTTTTTGCGTTGCCATAATAACCTGGTTTGCAAGCCCAAGGCACCCCCGTCGCTGGGCCCTTGTGCCTAAAAGTTACAAGCCCTGACCTGCTGTTAAGATCGTGAAGAAAGCCCCGGGACTGGCGGCAGAGATAACTACGGAGAACGGGCGCTGAGGAGAAACGTTGGTGAGACGTCAAACCAGCTGCCAGCTTTAAACCCTGCGCTTGCTGAGAGGTGGGACACACCACCCCCCCCCCATCCCACACACACCCCCCACACACACCCCCCACCTCGGAGGCCCCTGGCCGCTCGCTCTCCTCAAGCCAGGGGAGCGATGCCGGCCCCGGCTGCTGGCCCTGCTCCGGCCGGACCCGGGGGCAGCCCCACGGGTAAAGAGGGTGCCGGGGAG